TGACTATCAATACACCATTGTTATGAAAGCAGTAGCCATTGAATGTTTTATGGCCTTTTTGATTTCTGTTGATCGCTTAAAGCGTCTATTTTCTTCATATTGCGGAGCAATTCTTGTAGGTTCACCGCTTTCTCTAGTTTTTCTTCCCTTCTTTATTGTTTTCTCGACATTCCTCTACTTTTGACCACACTCTTCGTTAAATCAGTAAAACCCTTAGCCTTGGCTGATGCGCTCTGATAATACCATTTGCAGAATATTTCTGCCAACTTGAAGTATGTGATGAGGTATTTGCGCTGTATGACAGGTGCAGCCTTCCTTTAAATAATATGGAAACGAACTTTGATCGATTATTGAGGTTACTGAGGTAAGAAAATTCTTGGGTTTTTCTTCCTACATAATCCTCTTCTTCGTTTTCGCTATGAAAATATTTCAGAAAAGGCGAAATGTCATGCGCCCTGGATATTGTTGATGGGTTATCGGATTCGTCGTTAATGTTCTTACCTCTCGCTATGGTTGCCGTGCATCTGCTGGCCGAAGTGGAGAACTGGGAGAAAGTTAGCATGGTACGTTGACAAGTCCTTTATTACTATGTCCACTAAAAACTACGATTCAATTAAGATCAGGATTATCAACCCACAATATAAAATGAAGAATATCTCCCGTTTCTGCCATCGTCCCTGTATCTTCAATTTCGGATCAGGGGTTAAAATTCATTCTGAAATTGCAGTAGAACTTATTAATGTTGACAGCGAGCAAGATTGTTGTTTCCGCTGTATTGACGAAATTTCTTTATCGCTACCCGAATAACAAGTCGGAATTGCATCATCCTGTTGCAAGCCTTCACTAAGTACCTAATGTAGGCGGGGTTTGATTTCCAGTGAAGGCATGAATCACCTGGCTTGACGAGTGGCCGTTGTCGACTCGTATTTTGTTCACTATTACCGTCACCCAGAAAAACATTTGAAGGATTCAGGATTCAAGTTCCATTGGAAAGTCTCCCTCCATCCTTCGCCATTGACAGCGCGAAAGTTGCATTATGGAAAGGCGAAAACTTGAGCGATTTAATTGAACAGTGTGGAAAGAGATTCTGCGGATGCGAAACGTTTCCGGTTAGATCTTCTTTGAACTTCCTTACTAAATCTTTCACGTTTTTTTTTTTCTGCTGCAAAACCACTGAAAATTGTTTTCCATAGTAGCAACTGGGCCCGAACGGATGCGAGACGTTTCCGGTTAGATCTTTCTTTAAACTTCCTTACTAAATTTTTTACGTTTTTTTCTGCTGCAGAACTGCTGAAAACACTTTTCCATGGTCTCATGCGAATAATTTACGCGAATAATTTACGTAGGGAAGAATTCCAAAAGTTTGAATAAGTGGAACCAGTGAGCTCTTTGATGGTGAGCATTGATGATTGCTCATGAAACTAGATTCAACTCGAAAGTATGAGCTGTAGAACGAAACAGATTTGAACTTTTCCGCTATTCTTCATAGAAATAAGATACATTTCTGTTATGTACTGAAAAAAAACCGCACTTTTATGTCGGTACTTACTTAGCAAATATTCGGTCATGAAAGTTCTTGGTTTCAGCATTTACCGTGCTCTGCGAAATGGAAATGCAGCCGACGCAGCTGAAGATGCTGAGGCTCTCCTTGGCGACGAATCGAAGTCGTGGCGCGATCTCGTTCTTATTGCAGAGTTGAATATTGCTTTGTCAAAAGATGCGACATCATTGCTAGTGAAGGTAGGTGAGGGATGGGACAGCATCTTCTGGTTTTGACGTTAAAGTGCTTTCAAGTCTTCGTGTTTCTGTTGAAGACATAAGGTCAAGGTCTAAGGATAAGCAAAGCAGT